AGCACCTGCCTCTTCCAACTCCTACTTTCGAAGAGGCAAGAGCGCAAGCATAATGAGCACCGGAAACTTCAACAGCATGAGTTTAATCTGGGCAACGGAGCCTTATTCCAAATGTTCGAAACTACAAATCTACTGCGCCTGCCATGATTTCGTGCAATCTGGATAAAGCACTCTCAAAACATACGCAGACCATGACTGCGATTTGCTGCACCACTGCTCCCTACAAGCACGCAGACGCCGGGCAAACGTCCTGGACGCTTCCAAGAACCAGTATCCCCGAAAGGTGATGATGTGGTCTCATGCAAAACTAAATATTGGATAATGGAAAATAAAATGGAAACTACTAGGGTTTAGGGCTTAGGGATAAGTACTAATATGATGATCCCATATTCCTTGTATAATTATAGTATATGGTACCAAGACTGCCCCCCAAAAAGCCCTCAACCTTGTTCAGACTGGTGGTCTCTCTACCTCTTCTCATGTGCCGTAATAAGGTCCTCATGGACACGGAAGACAGCCACTCTATACATGCTATACCCACCCTCATATCACCACTATAAACTTCTTCCAAACTAAGTCCTACGGCAGGGCACATGCACGATGACATTGAGCACGGCAGTAGGGCCAGTGGGCAAGGGCACGAAGGCCTCCTGGACCACCTTGCCTTAGTGGCAGACAAGGAGAAGGCTAAGCCCGAAAAGGATGTTAAATAATATTATTTTACATACTTTCGGGGTCCAGGTATAATGGTATAACCCTAACCCTAAACTCTACCTTTCACCGTACGGGTTTGGGGTCCAGGTATGGGTAGCTTTCTAAATATCTTTTCTTGGGGTTGGAAGAGGGTTCCTAGGCCTGTGCCTCGAACAACCCAAACACCCTCCAACTCGAGAACCCAAAGGGTCCAAGTAGATATTGACATATATCATATATATATATATGTAGGGTCTAGGGTTTAGGGGAGGTGTGTGTATATATATATAGATATACTGTATAGGGTTTAGGCTTTAGGGTAGGTGTACATATATTTATATATACGCACATATATATACGGCTTAGGACTTAGGGTTTAGGGTAGGTATATATACACTATACAGGGTTTAGGGTTCAGGGTAGGTGTATATATATATATGGGTAAAAGGGTATCCCCCCCCCCTCCCCCTGCATTTCGTACACTTTCCTTATAACAGTATGCCTTTTAAACATAATGTTATACTACA